ACAGATTGGAACAGATCTCTGAGAATGAAGAAGCTTTCCTTTGGACATACAACATCCTTATTGCAGATACCACCTATCAGCACTTGGTTGTCCAATTCCAAAATGAAGTTTTTGATGCTAGCTTTTGTGCAAAGAGAACAACTTGATTGCTAAAGCTTCTGCTTCTAAAGTTGAAGTGCAAGAAACAAGCTTACCTTAGCTGCCAAAAAATTTGCTATGCAGAACCATTTCTTCTATACCCTCCAAAAAGTATATTTCAATCCTTCATTGCTAGTCCTTCACATTTATGCAATGCTTCATGCAAGATCAAAAGCATTCTGAATTGAACTGTGACATTCATAGGGATAATTGGAAATTTTACTTCAAATCTCCCATGCAATATTAGCAGGGTATGCAAACATTTCACTTTATGACCATCTTTCTACTTCCAGAACCCGGATGTGTGTTCTTGATCTGGATGTTAGGCATCAAGGGGATATCAAGTTGTTAAATTACTCAATTATAAATCCTGGAAAACAGTATGGTTAATATCTCCAATAAGATTCCCTTGATATGTCATATGCATCAGGGTGGTCCATGAGTGGTTTAGGGAAAATGTCAGCTTCAAGACAGACAAACTTGAGTAAATAAAGTTCTTGCCAAGGAATTGAAATCACTGAAATTCTGATTTTTTTTGTACTAAGGCTGCATTTGGTAGAGGTGTAAATACAAAACTCCATCGGTGGAAATAAAAAACGCTCAATTGTATCAGGGTGAAAAACAACTAGTCGAATGCATGTTTCGTCTTCACAGAGGAGAAGAAGGCGTTTGAACTTCGAACTTGACATAATGAGATCAAATAGAGAGAGAGAGAGAGAGTCATACGAGGATTGAAACCATGGTGGAAACATGAGGGTTCCGATGAAGATTGAAACCACAACGTTGAGGGTTATATGTTTCTGGCAAAGATTGAAACCATGCTGGAGTCGGTGATGAAGCTTTTGCTGAACTGGTTCTGTTTTTGCCTTTGTTCCCAAGCGAAGGAGGCAGATGGTTACCGGAGCCGATGATGAAGCTTTTGCCTCTGTTCCCAGGGAACTGTTTCTGCTGAGTTGGTGATGGTTGCCATGGAGCCGGTTTCCATGGAGAATGTAGGTGGGTTTATGGAGAAGAAGAGAGAGAGATGTAATAAATACATCGAAAATTTTTATGTATTTATTACATCGATTATTGATGTAATTCAATGGTAGCATGTAATTTTACATCGATTTTCGGTGTAAAGTTACAATTCTGCAATGTTAATCCACAGAAATGGAGGCCATGAAAAATAAGAAAAATTGGTGTTTGAGCTAATTTAAGAATTAAAAGTGTCAAGAGTTCTTACAAGCTAATACTCTTCTATTATTTAATTTGTTTGATTTGATATTTTAACCAATGTTCTAAATATCGACATGCTGTGTTGGTACATTTTTTTACGTTTTATTTATTTTTTTCGAAACCGGTTCTGGGGGCAGTTATAAGGCCCGACTACCCTCTGAACCGGTGGCTGACCCGATACAACCCCTAGAGAGGTGTATCAGTAAGCCATCGGCATGATACCTATCGATACTTTGAACCTTGATTTTAACAGTGATACTATTACATCAGGTTTTAACATATAAAACAATTAAGGGTCTGTTTGGTTTGCAGTTGGAATGGGAATTGGAATAGGAATTAAAATCCTTTGAATCGAAATTAGAATGGTTCATTCCTATAGTCTCTTTGGTTTAGACAGGAATGGGAATGGGAATTGAAATCAGTAGAAATGAGATTTTAATTTCCAATGAAAGGGCAGGGAATGGCTATTCTCTCAAATGGGAGAATACCATTCCAGCAGGAATGGGAATCGGGTTTTGATTTCATCCAACCAAACAATTGAAATTGGAATAGCCTATTCCGATTTCGATTCCAGACCCTTATTCCCTCGAACCAAATGGGGCCTAAAATCAAAATTCTATTTATTAACGAATAGATGACCTTGAAAATCGATAGATATGATGCATTAAATTACTATGCGGTAAAATATACTACAATATGTATCAATATTTAGAACTTGATGTAGCAGTTGTTTTTGTGTTCAAAAACTAAACCATACTTATAGGCCAATATCCCCTAACCCTTCTGCATTAGGGCTGCAAATGGTGTGAGTTGTTTGAATTTGATCTACTCCATTCTGATCCAATTTTAGCTGATGTTATTTAAAAATTCTCATTTTGTAAATGTGATAGATTGGAATTTAATTCGACTAGTTATAGATCTCTAATCAGACATAGGATGGAACTTGGATAGTGCGTTTCTTTTATCAGATCGATCTTGGATAGAGGTACATCCTATCCGATTAGAACCCAACTCTTTCCTAGGATAATTTGATTTGGCATGGTCAATGACTTGGTTAGGAATTAGAACCATCAAAGTGCTCCTCACTCCGACCTCACAGCCACATTTTACGTGTATTGGGAACATCTCCCATGAATAATAACAAACAAGTATGGGAGATGTTCCCGATGTATGGCTGGAACATGTGAGGTCGGTGTAAGGAACGCTCTGTAAGGAGTAGGTCCGGACTTGCCTGCAAACATGCCTAGAAAACCAGTGCACCCTAATTCCCAGAAAGCCACTTGAGAGGCAAGCACCTTTTTGAGAGAGATAAAATTGGAAAGGCCAAAATCACTGCAAAGCTAGAAAAATAAGAAAGGAGTTAAGATCTGTGCCCCACAAGGGGGCACCCCACAATGTCCCACAACACATCTCCGCCATGTATTGGGAACATCTCCGATGATAATATCAGAATCGATGATGTCATCATCGCCTCATCGAGAATGTTCTCAATACACAGTGGGATGTGCTGTGGGACGTTGTGGGGAGTATATGTGAACTCATAAGAAAGAAAGAAGAGGAAAAGAAACTGGTACCCTGATTGATAGGGATAATCATGGGCTGGGCTATGCTGGGTTTTTGTAGGGCATTAACAGTCTTGAGGCTTGCTCTGGCCTGGCCCGGCCCACACTTGGGGTTTGATAATACATGTATGATTACTTTTTTATGAGTATGATAATCAAACCCATTATCCATCATATATTTTTGATAAAATGGTATCATATATACATATATATCATATATAAATACATATTGAATACCTAAGGATTTGCGGTTAGGATGGGCTCCCCACAAGTGCCCCATAGCACATCTTCTCCATGCATTGGGAATATTTCCCCATTCTGTGGGGCGCACCCAATTGGAAGTCCACCCAAATTCATGGATTTGTAGGCTGTAGGGGTGCTCACGGTAACCGAACCGTGGCCGTGGAGTTATTTTTTGAACCGAACTGACCTGCCATTTTTTTTTAAATATTCGAACCAATTAACCGCGGTTTGATTTTTCGGTTTTTTATGCACTCAAAATAATAAAAAAAAAAGAAAGAGACAAAGGTCGTCGGTCTATCTGGCCTCGGGGATTTTTTCCCATTGGGGAAGAAGAAGAGAGATGAGAAACTAAGAACTTGGAGGCTGTCAGTCGGTTTGGGGAAGAAGAAGACTAAAGATATGAGAGACTGAGAACTGAGAGTGAGAGACAAAGGAAAAGGTGTTTAGTCTGAGAGAGAGAATTGAGAGATGAGAGACTGAGAAATCAAAGGTCGTCGCCCGTTGGTCAGATCCCAGAGGTTGTCGATCAGAGACTCGGAGGTTGTTGTTCGGTTTGGGGAAGAAGAAGACTAGAGAGATGAGATCGAGAGACTGAAAACTGAGAGTGAGAAAGGCGTTTAGCCATTTAAGATTTAAGTTAATTTGATTCAAAGAGAGGAAATTATTAAAAGCTGTCGGACTATCAGATTGCACGGGGATGCATGTCGCGGGCAGATATGTGTCGCTCTAGATCTGCAAGTCTGCAACAACAAATATAATATATAAATCATGAAAATTAAAAAGCTGAATCACCAAAAGGAGAAAGAAAATGACAGAGAACTGCATTAAAAGTTAAAGGAAAAAATATATTATAATATATTATAGGACAGAGGATTGTACTTAAAAATAAAATATAATATATAATGTGTTATATTTTATTATATATTAGAAATTTACGAGAAGCCTATTCAATTTTAAAAAATATAGACTATTAGTATACATATACCGGTTGGTTCGGTTAATTGTCAGTTTTTTGTAAAGGTTAATTGAAACCAAACCGGAATTGTCAGTTTTTAAGAATATAAAACCGAAACTGAACCGACCGGTTCAGTTAACTGAGTTTTTGGTTCGGTTTCGGTTTTTTTTGCTCACCCCTAGTGGGCTGTACCTGGTCATAACTGATCATCATCACGATTCCTTCTCTCTTACCCACAAGAACTCTGCCCACACTTACCCACAAAATACTACACGTGAACATCTCTCTGCGCATAATAACATACAAGCATAAAAGATGTTCCCTATATGGGGATGTGATGTCATGTGGGTAAGTGTGGATAAAGTTCTTGTGGGTAGGAAATCCATCAAGCCTGTATTAGTAGGAGCTTGATTGTTGAGACTTTTTAGCTTTTAGGCCCCATTTGCTATATACTTATATTCTTTTATTTTTTAGGTAATTAAGACATGGCTATTTTAGTCATAAAACTTTATTATCAAAAAGGGGCATTTTTATCCCATTAAGGTGTTGGCAACTGGGATCTTGGCTGTTTGGACTTTGGAATAAAAAGTTGAACCTGCCAAGGTGTATTTGAAATTGGCAAATAATGACTATTTTAGGACATTTTACATTTTATGCTCAAATTGAAAAAAATACAAATATATATAAACAGTATAAATGCATATAAAATAATACAAAATGCAAGGTTTTGCACTCTATATATTTATATTCCTTTCAAACTATTGGAAAGAGTACAAATATAAATATGTACTATGCAAATATATACAACATAATACAAAATATAAGATTTTGCCCTCTACAAATTTGTATTTATATTCTTTCCAAACTGAGCCTTGGGTCTTTGTTTGAGCTTCCGAGTTCCCTCTCTTCTCTTGGCAGTGCACCAATAAGCGAACTGATTACAGATGAAGGCAGAGCAGAAGGGTAGGTCGCGTTTGAACGCCTGGGGTTCATCGTGTACAAGTCTCGCCAAAGCTTAATCTGTGACTTAAGTGAAATCCCTTTAGTCATTCTCTTTCAATCTCTTCCAATGTTTGGTTTCCAACCTCACCACTTACTCCTTCAATTCGCCAGGATTGGAGACACCATAACCACCACAAGCTATCTCAAACATTTTCCAGAGTCTGCTTTCAAACGCCTCCTCTCTCACATCTCAACTTCCAAGGATAAGTTATCCTCTTTTACAGTTTCTTACCTCGTAAACTCATGTGGGCTCTCATCAGAAACCGCTCTTTCGGTTGCAAAAAAAGTCTATTTGAAGTGCCAAAGCAAACCTGACTCAATCCTGAAACTATTCAAAACCCATGGATTCACCAAAACCCAGATCGCAACCATCATCTCCAAGAGTCCTAATGTACTCCTGGCTGATCCACGCAAAACGGTCGAGCCCAAACTTCAGTTTTTCAGGCGTGTTGGACTTTCTGTCCCCGACCTTATGAAGGTCCTCTATTTGAACCCTGGAATCTTCAAAACGAGCTTAGAAGACAAGATCATCCCTTCTTGGAAATTTCTCAAGACATTACGTCACACAGACGAAAAGGTAGCCTCCTCGATCATGAACGCCATGGCCAAAAGGGCTCTCCAACATTATTCACCGAAATCATTGGCACCAAAAATTGCATTCTTGCGTGATGTTGGTGTACCCGAATCCAACATCTCAAAAATGCTCCTTCTGTTGCCAACTGCAATACGTCGAAGCACTTACCGGTTTAATGAGTTGGTCAGGGAGATCAGTGAAGTGGGTTTTGATCCCTCGACAACATTTTTTCTCAAAGCCCTGCATGTGAAAGCAAGTGTAAGCAAGGCTACATGGGAAGCGAAATTTGCACTTTTTAGGAACTTCGGATGGTCTGATAACGAGATACTTTTGGCGTTCAGAAGGAGTCCCTATTGCATGCTTGCCTCAAAGAAGAATATTGGGAGTAAATTGGACTTCCTGATGAACAAACAGAACCTAAAGCCTGCAGATATTTGTAAACATCCGCAAATATTTACATATAACTTGGAGAAAAGGATTATTCCAAGATGGTTTGTTACTCAGGTTCTACTCTCAAAGGGACTGATCAAGAAGGATTTGGCTCTTAATACTGTATTCAGTATTTCTGATTCATTGTTTCTAGAGAAATTTGTGATCAAGTATAAGGATGAGACTGCTGAACTATTAAAGGTCTATCAAGGCAAGTCATGTATTTTGTGATTCAACGACTGGGTGGAATGGAAGTTTTTTTCATTATATAACCCATTAGAAATATCCATGAGCTTTCTCTGTTTATCTATTTTAATTGATCCTTGCTCTTCTATAATTGTTGATTCTGTGAAATTTTTTCTTTTAATTGCTTTATGTGCTTGCTAGTAGTTCTGGTATATTAAATATTTTCAAGAGAAGGTCCCATGGTGCTTGATGTTTGCTGATGTAGTATTAGTTGATGAAATTGATGTAGGATTAAATGCAAAATTAGGTTTATGGACAACTATGTTAGAAACAAGAGGTTTTAAAATAAGTGGGGCTAAAATTGTAAACCTTCTTGGCTGAACAGAAAAGAGAGCAGAATAGACTGGAGTGTCTAAGCTCTCGACCCCCACTCCAAAGAGTCACTTAATTAAATAGAATGTATAGTTACAATGCCCATGTGGGGTAGAAAGAAAGAATTAAAAGGAATACATACAAACATAAAACAATGAACTGTACAAAAGGGACTATCCTAATAAAGTACATTAAGTTTCAGAGTCTCCACATGGGCAAAATTGTGTTGGCAGTCTATATTGATGACATAATTATCACAAGGAGTGATGAACATGGTATTGAAGAGCTCAAACAGTTTCTACAAAGCCAGTTCTAGACTAAGCACTTGGGGCACTTGAAATATTTTCTAGGCATAGAGGTAGCAAGGTCAAAGTGGGGAATTTCCCTCTCACAAAGAAAGTATGTGCTTGACTTATTAGAATATACTGGTCTATTAGGGGCAAAACCAATGGATACTCCTATAGATCCAAATGTGAATATATTTGATAGTGAAGGGGAGCCCCTGGTTGATCCTGGACAATGTAGGAGATTAGTTGGGAAGCTGATTTATCTAACCATCACAAGGTCAAATATCTCTTTTAGCATTGGACTATTGAGCCAGTTTATGCAGAACCCAAGGACAATCCATTGGGAGGGTATTGTTAGAGTGCTACGCTACTTGAACGGTGCTCTAGGTCAAGGGTTGTTGTATAAGAAAGGGAGAGACCTTTCCTTAGAGTGATATATGGATGCTGATTGGGCAAGATCAATTACAAGTAGGAAATCAACAACTGGTTATTGCACATTCTTGGCAGGGAATTTGATTACTTGGAAGAGTAAAAAGCAGAATGTGGTGGCTAGGAGTAGTGCTAAGGCTGAGTATAGAGCCATGACCCACACTACATGCGAGTTGGTGTGGCTAAAACAAATTGTTACAAGAAATACGAATGTCAGTTACAACTCCCATTAAGTTGTTCTGTAACAACCAGGCAGCCATTCATATCTCTTCCAATCCAGTGTATCATGAGAAGACTAAACACATAGAGGTGGATTGTCACTTTGTAAGAGAGAAGGTGGTTAGTGGAGAAATTATTACCCCATATGTGAAGTCTGAAGATTAACTAGCCGACCTCTTCAACAAAGGCTTGAGTGGTGCACGGATGAAGTATATTTGTAACAAGTTGGATCTTTATGATATATATGCTCCAACTTGAGGGGGAGTGTTAAATAAAAGTGTTTGTGCAGGGTTATTTTAGTCTTTTTCCCTTTCTTATTTATGTTTTTATTATCTTTGTTCTTAACTTTAAGTCATATAGTCAGGGCATTAGTGTAATTTTGTTCTATTATGAATATAAACTAATATGGGCGGCAGCTGGGTCTCTCAATAGAGAGAGTATCTGAAGTCCTATTCTCTTTGTATTCTCTCTTCTCTCTACTGTACCTTCGTATTCTGGGATTATACCAGGATTTCTACCTGTTTATTTCTCAAATACAGGCCTGATCACACTTTGAAACTTGACAGGATAGATCCATTAATTTTGTTTAGGAAATGCTGATAATTTATAGAAGTTTGCTACATTAGCAAAGGGTTTGCTTTAAATATCTCCTTTCAATTAGCAATTTATCATGTGATCATCAACTGAACTGTGCCAGGGCTAGGCCACTTAAACAAATTAGCTGTGACGCAAAGTGGCATTGTTTGGACAATCAATTTCATGGAAAGGCTCATTCCACCTATTCATTTTGAATTGTATCTTATTTATTTATTTTTTGATAAACAAAGTATAATTGCATTTCATTCATGAAATGGAGGCAGGGCCACCCTCAAAATCATGTACCAAAAGTGCCTTTACAAGTATATCTTTAACTTTCAGCTATACAATTAGCAAACTACATAAAAAAAATGATAAAATTCCACCTATTCAAGAAACTATCTATAGGTGTATCTTTGAAAGAATTCAAGATCTGCACCAACCACGCCACTATCCATTCAATCTTGCTGATCATGCCTTCAATTGGAGCAGCCTTGGGTTCAGAAACTCGGCTGTTCCTTTCCTTCCACAATCCCTTGCAGAGGGCAAGGGGAAGAAGATTCCACAACATTTTCCCTCTAACTGAGAAGCCTGCTGAAGACCAAGAGGCTAATAAAGATGGCAGGTCAGGAGGAACCACCCATTATTAAAAAACTGAAGGAAGTGGGCCCAAACTAGATAGGTGAAAGGTTCTTGATCCATACAACACAAGCTCCACAAGTTCTCTACCAGCATGCCTCTACTCAGTAGATGATCAATAGTTAAAAGTTCTTTCTCTGGCTGCAGTCCACAAGAAGAAAACCACCTTGGGCAGATCTTGGATTTTGCACATCCAGGTCCAAGGGACTGCAGGATTTGAAGGTGATAGGGCTAGCCTGTATCAGGATCTGGATGAGCAAAAACCCGATGTGTCGACAATCCATACTCTGCAATCTAATTCCTCCAGTGTGATATGGTATCTTATTTATCTAATTATTTATTTATTTATTTTCTATCCAGATGCATGCTTTGATCTACATAAGCTCAATTTTGAGATGTCAAACTGTCAAGACAGACCTAAGTTTTGACTTGAAATTCCCAAAGGATTAAAAGGGTGAGATCTATATGATAAAATTCTATTAGCATTTAGTCAGCAAGGCCCATGGGAACAATCTGATACTATAGTTAAAATAAACTCCGTAGCAAGTGAGCTAAACTAACTCAAAAAGTTTTGGAATTGATCAAATATCTCCTTTGCTGAAAACCCTGTAAATTTCAATATAGATGTATAAAACAACTGAAACAGAAGAAGGGAAAATATAAGCCTGTTAGATTTCGAATTATGGAGTACATTTGATGGGTAGTTTTGGTTAGTTTTCCAATTAAAAATGCAAGGTAATTAATTGTCTGGTTAGTCATCATGGTTGAAATGTTGTTGCTATTTTAGATCCCACAGAACAGATCCATTGAATAGTGGCTTCATATCTTTGTATTTTGTACAGGTGCATGGGAAAATCATTAAATAGGCGGAAAGGAAGCTGTTTGGATAAAAGCCTTGGTAATCCAATTGAAAGGAAAAGGACTTGTATTGGATTCATATGAATCTTACTTGTTTCAAGTTGGGTGCAGGTTCACTAGACTGAATTGGTTTTGGTTTGGTTGCAGCTTGAAGGTTGAAGCACTGTAACCCAAGTTGCTGTGTTTGTCTTGGGTTTAGCTTTGATCAGAGCCCATTCTGCTTCATTACAAATTAGAAACTTATTGATTTTTTATCCACGTTAGAAGCTTACAGGTTCCACATTTGGTTCAAGCAAATCTACTAGAACTGCAAAAGCTTTGGAATCACATACTTAATGGAGAAAAGTACAATAAAAGAACTTACATTCTTTCTCAAACTAATGGCAGTAGTGCTTGCTCGCTCTTGAATCACTACATATTTGGAAACCTTTTTCTAGCTAGCAAGGACTACTAAGTGCCCGTTTTGGTGTTCTTTCTTACTATGCATTACAAGGGAATCAGGGGTCGGAACATAGAAGGGTGCACATGAAGTCCACTGACCATACTATGGAGAGGTTCTACAGGTTTGATCCCGTGCCTCCTATTTTGGAGGGATGCCAAATTGGAGTTCAGATCTGATCCTAATGAAATCACATCTGTGCCAATCGGAGATGTGCATGTGGGGCGCCTGTGAGGCACGCTCTGTGGGGCACAGATACGAGCTCGGTCCTAACTCTTAACAGAAACTGTTTCAACAAGCCATTGCATTGGGAACATCTCCCTTGTTCTTCATGGTGGGATGTTCCCAATGTATGGTTGCAATGGCTTTGGCTTGTGGGGACGATGTCAGGACCAGATCGGGACTCTGCCAATTGACCATCTCAAGGAAGAGATGGTCAATCTGGTCTCAACACATGGTCCGAATTGACCGTGTGCCAGGTGTGGGGTTGGGTGGGATCCGGAGTGGCTTTTGGCTTTGTAAGATGAATCCGGATCTGCTCTTCACAGAGAACTCTTCACACCTACTTCACATCATGTTCCAGTCATACATCGGAAACATCTCCTCCTGTATTTATATGTTATTATTTCATGATAAATTGTCTCAATACACGGTGGGATATATCCGTGAGGTCAGTGTGAGGAGAGGAGCAGATCCCATGCACTGAGGTTGGTCTGAGGGGCGTTCTGAAAAACCCGTAACGCAATGTCAGCTAAGTTGTACAGAGCGCTAAATTTTGTCCTAACTACAAGCCTCTTCCATGATATATGTATATATTTTGCTTTCATCTTGTTCAGTGAGATTCCTGTATGCCATTAATCTCTAATTCAAATTAACTGAAGGTAATAACTGTTCAACAACCCATGATAATGCTTCATGTAGGCCCACATGTATTTAATGATTGACATGGTGGCATGGGGCGTAATCATTGTTCCACAGCCTGCTGATCAACTATTGCATTCAGTTAATCTTCTATTCCGGAGATTATTGGCACTCCACATGTACATCATGCATTGAAAATATTTTCCGAAGATGTTTCCAATAGACGTGTGGAAGGTGCTGTGGGATGTTAATCTGATTTCCTATTTCGTTAATCTTGGATTCGTCGTCTCCACTATCGTTTGATAACGACTGAAGTGGCTGGAGGGAGAGTGGACTGAATGATTTAATGCAATATTTTCCAATAAACAAGTTATTAACGAGGATGTAAACTCGCTGCAGCCCGCAGCCGTGCTGTGGCCTGTGGAGTGGGGTCATTCAGTTGTCGTTTGTGTGACATTTGACTATGGACCAAGGACTGGTCGGTATTGTTGGGCTGTAATCGAAGCCCATAGTCCAAAACTCCAAATGGGCTCTGAACTAAGGCTCGACGCTCTAACTGTGGTTCAACACGGCCCCACCTCTGGAAGCCCACACTTGTTCTGAGCTAATCCAGGTCGCCGACAGCTCTAAAGGCGATTCAAATATTTTGCATCAGCGCTACCATTCCATTCCATGCCATGCCATGCCAATGGCAGCTTGGCATTGCGACTGTTATTATACTGTTTTCCCCGCGAAAAAAGAAAAGCTTTTCGGAATTTGTTTATTCTGTGAAGAACTGGAAAGGTGAGAGACAAGAGAGAGAAAGCTCGTGGTGCTCAAATGGCCGTCTTCATCTCACTCTTTTTGCTTCTGTCTCCTCCTCCTCTGTTCCGAGCTCTGCAACTTATCGGAGAAGGTTGGACGCCACAATCCAATGGTGAAGGATACGGAGTATTACGATGTTCTTGGTGTTAGTCCTTCCGCTTCGGAGGAGGAGATCCGGAAGGCCTACTATCTCAAGGTTTGCACTTCATATTCTTAATCCTAGACTATGAAGATCTGTTACGTAAGTCGTTAGCTTTAATACTAATACTATGATACTCTGTTGGTTTTCGTAAATTCTGTGTTCTTTACTTATCCTTCAATTTGTTGAATTTTAACAAGTTTTTTTTTTTTTTTTTCTTAATTGAAAGTTAGCTTGATTTGATTAGTTCTACTAGATTTGGTCGCGTATAGTAAACTGCAGTGATAAATGGATACGATCAGTATCGAGGTTCTCTTGTATCTGCTGAATTGGAAGTATTTGTTTTGTTAATGTTGCACAAGAGTTGATGAACTTTTTGTGTTCTCCACTTGGCATTTCTTGACTCGTAGAAATATTACCTTCTTTTCTGGCTGTTTTGGTTAACCATAACCAGAATAGAGCAAAGTAGGTGCATAATTGACTTAAGTGGGAGATAAACCATGTAACTCAATAATTCAATTACTGGTTCTTTAGAGTTACACCTATACTTCCCGTAGAACTCAGTCTTCCTTTCATTCTACCTTATTGAAGCTCGCTTAATAAATGTGCAGGCAAGACAGGTTCATCCTGACAAAAATCCAAATGATCCTCAAGCAGCTGAAAGATTTCAGGTATGTCTAGTGCCAATTTATTCATTTCCTATTTTGATACCATCATTCTCTTTTTTACTTTGGCATTTTTCTCAAGTTTGAAAGTGATGCTGCATCAGCCACAATCACTCAAAACAATCTTTTCTACCAAATTTATTGGCAATATCTTGCAATTTATATGCTACTGCAATTTGAGGAAAGAGCCGTTTTAATTGGTGTTGATGAACAATGTGAGACTGGATTTGAAATTGATCCACCAATATTCAGTTACTTCACATGTAATCTTGTGGAGCTTCTTTGATAATCGAATCTCAATTATTCAACAGGTACTGGGAGAAGCTTATCAGGTTTTGAGTGATCCTGTGCAAAGAGAGGCATATGACCAGAACGGAAAATACTGCATATCTAGGTATGCTGGAAAAATTGCATCATTATCCCCATATGCAGTGAGTGTATACACATGCACACTGCATATATGGGGATAATGATGCCTTGAAGCTAGATGGTTTTTTCATATCCACAACTTCTTTTACTGATATAATACTGGCTCGGCAATAAAGTTGTGACTTGGATCCTTTCCTGTTCAAATCTAAATAAAAAATAATTTTGGTATTATGTGGATTAGTCTTTGTTAATTAGAATTCATTGATCTGAAGCTGACCCAACTCTCTACGCTGTTCTGCACAATATAGATTTTGACCATTTGTTGGGTACTGCACAAATAATTTGCTTATGATTAAGCATAAAACAACTCAACTTTGTTCATGAATTTAATTTTTTTCTGTAATTGCATGGTAATAACCTACTTTTATTAGTACACATTCACATTTTCGTAAAGATGGTTGCTGTTGCTCTATTGCTCCAAAATGGAATCTATGATGATCATCTAGATTTAACACTGCTTCATGTTTATTGAATAATATAAGGGAAGAGATTGAATGCATAAAAGCAGGATAATACTTTACAATGATATTTTTTCTTTTCAAATTGAAACGATTTATATCTTTCAGTCTTAACTTATCCACCAGAAATGATTAAGGGGAAAGACATAATGGATAGACCAATAAATGGATTATAGTCAGTTTTTTTTTTTTTTTTCCATCTTATTTGCTGAAGAAGATAAAGAGCTCTTACTTGCTTGGTACCATATCAAGTCTCAGTTGAAAGCTAAGAGAAATCTAAAACATTAAAATACCTTACTAATTAGTTAAATATTAAATATAAGTTGAAGAAAGCCATTAATTTCAAGTGCAAAATGTGGTACATATCAAGAATAATAGAGATGCTTCATAACAAAACCATAAGTTATACTGAGGGCTGTGAAGCACAATCAAATAGTACAAGTACTGTTGACAGTGAAACTACATATATACAACCTCCACAATCAGTTTTTTATTCTCTAGAATTCACATCAGCAGCACCATCTGATATGATTTTGAGATTTTTTGCCCAATGTTCATAATTATGAAATTTCACCATCCTTTTACCCTTTTCGAAGATTATATAGAAGGAACAATGACTGTTGCTTCACTGCTTATGTTAGTCATCACTTATGATTCAAGCACCCATAGTGTGATTTTTTTTTTTTTTTTTTGTATTGGTCTATTCTGTTGATGAGCTGCCATTTTCATTTTTGTAGGGAAACTATGCTAGATCCTACTGCTGTTTTTGCACTTCTATTTGGAAGTGAATTATTTGAGGATTACGTAGGACATCTTGCTGTGGCATCAATGGCATCCTCTGAATTGGCTACTGAATGTGACAACCCAGAAAAACTACATGATAGATTGAAGGCAAGTATGTTCCATATTCATGTGTTAATTTTTTTTTTTTTTGCTTTTAGCAGCAATTTATTTGGTGTATCCCCCCGGTAAGAAGACATCAAATATAGAAGTAATATTTGGCAGCAATCTATTTATAAAATCAACTTTGTACTGAATATTTATGATGACAACAAAATCATGTCTGCTGCATATTTCTTCTAATAATATAAAATTTCTAAAAGTTCAGGAAGTATTCAAAATCCTACTTGAAAATGCAGTGACCACCATTCAGTTTAAGATATAAAGAAAGGAATCCTTCACCATCCTAACCAATTTCAACACAAAATGACAACTAATTTCCAACTTTGATGTAAATATCCTTTACTGGATAAAATAAAGAAAAAAAGTAACTTAAGAGACAGACACATGAACATACTTGAAAATCCATTGACCAAAGGGAAATGATCAATGTTACTTTAGTTATTGTTTTTTTGAATTGGATGCAAGGAAGCTGTTGTGATTGCTCTGGTGGCCAGATATGCTTCTGGCTAGAAATTTGTGACAGCATGTCGCCCCATGATGTATGGCAAGAGTGGATAAAAGATATTTGTTTCTATCACCCCCATTGAAATCAACAAGGTTCGAGTTTATATAACAATTGATTAGAAATGAATTAATGCTACCTATTTTTAGTTAGCAAGGGATGGGTTCATTCTACTTAAAATGGATCTGTACTATCCTGAATCTTGTACTGCTGCTTAGTCCTTATATAACATTTATGTCAAAATGTGGATCAGATTTCAACACTAGCAGTTTATGGATTTTGTGATTAAAATCATTCACAAGTTAGGTGTCGTGATTGAGTCATAGGCTTGTCAAAATGAGCAAGTTTGTCATATCCTTGAAATCTATCATTTATATACTACTTGAGTGCTTCAAATTCACAAGGTATGATCTTGCTTTGTGGTAGAGCAGTGACATTCTGGAAGGACATTTGGTAGGGTGTTAGTCCACTTGGTAATGATTTTCCATGATTACATTCTTCTTCTTGCTATAAAATAATATATTGCTTGTCAGTCTTCATCTGGGATTTCATGGGATCTAGGTCTTGAAGAGATCATAGGGACTTTTAGAGTGTGGATATAGCTTTACTTTTTTTTACCTTTTCTTTGAGGTCTACTTTGATAGCTTTGGAAAGAATAGGGGAATTTGATCTTATGACCTGCTGGTTTTTATTTGTGTTCCTTCTTTTTCTTTCAAGAAATTGATCTGAAACCACCACCTCACTTAACCATTTCTTATATGTGCTTTCTGGTTAGGTCCTACACCTAAGGTTAAGCTTTCTATATTCCATTTGAGAGGTCATACACCAAAAAGTCAACATCTGTGAGATGCAATAACATCATAGAAAAAGGCCGACTCTTTCCTCCATTTAGGTCTGCAAATTGGGCACCTGACCTGAAGAGTTTACACTGTATCCCATTCAAATTTAACACTCTCAAGCCAAGTTGCATCCCTACCCCCATGTAGTGAGAATGGGCCAAATGGGCCTTAGTGTTCTTTATTTCTTTTAAGTAGTATTTAAAAGTTATGTTTCGTAGTTATGGGCCTTCTTTTATTTTCTTTAATTATTTCTTTAGTGCTGGCCGCCTCATTAAGGGCATCCAAGTAATTGTACTCAGACTTAGAATTATTAATAAAAGTGATGAAAGGGGGCTAGAGAGAGGTTCGAATTCTTCTTTTCTCTTCCCTTCTTTTCTTCTTCCACAACCTATTGCTGAAACTTCTTTCTTCTTCTTTCTCTTCCTCTCTTTTCTTCTTTTCTTGCATTATCTGAATTACTGTAGGTATAATTTTCAACTATGATGAAACCTACCATCTTTTTTTTTTTCTTGCGAACTTGTTGCAGAGATTTGCAGTCACTTTTATGGGCCTCTTGGAGCTAGATGGCTGCAACCAAAACATATGCTGTCATTTTTCTCCATAGCCTTTTTCTTTATAGTAGAAGAAGAGGCAAAGTTATGTGGAGATGTGTGAGAGATGCTATATTATGGACAATATAGGAGGAGAGAAATCCTGAAAACTTTACAGGACAGAATCAACTGATCAAAGAAAAGATGTCATTACAATAAGTGTGGCATATTTGCTAAGAACTAGGGAGGAATTGAAAGGTTACCACATGGAGGACCTAGTTTGAGATTGGAGCCACAGAACCAATTCATCCACCTTTAGGCAAGTGGATAGCCAAAAATCGGTCCCACCTAATAAAGGAATGTTAAGCTCAATTTTGATGGCTGTTCAATAGGGAATCCAGGTTTCTTATGGATAGGAGATAGGAGTCACTAGTTATGAAGGGATTTTTTCATAGGTTGTGGGGGTCCTATTTTAGATTTTTTCAGGATCTTTTGGTCCAGATGACTCTTTAGGAGCTGAACTAAGGGATTTTTATCTAAGGATTGCAAAGTTTGCAATTCATCAGTCCCATGGGGCGGAAACTGGAGTCACAAGTTGTCATTGACTATTTCTTAGGGGGAAATGAATGGCCTTGAAGATTCAGTCACTTAATAAGAGAAGCAAAAGCCATACTTATCACACACACACACACACAAATCAAAGTCCATGATCTCAAACATTAGTACCTTATTTAGATGCATCAAAAGATCATCCATTACCATAGCTAATGGATTAGCCAGACAAGGTGTGGGAGGTGAAATTTTTTTATGGTGATGCATCCCTACTGAGATAATTGATTGATTTGGTTGTAATGAAATTTTCTTTATTTCTACTATTTATGTTACTGGGATAGTTGATTGATTTGATTGTAATGACATTTATTTTTATTACTACTGTTTATGTTTGGCTCCCTTTAAGGGATGGGTTTGTTTATTATCTCTAGCCCAATCATGGGCTTATGTATTATTCTCTAATCTACTTTGTTCTATATTAATAAAGCCCTTTGATCTTATTAATGATAAAAATAAAATCTCAGTTTACTTGTTTGCTTGACTTTATATCCTATAGGGTTGTACACAGATCGGTTCGGTTTGGTTGCACACGATTTTGTCAACCAAACCGAACATCTTGGGTTGATTGTTATGTCAACCGAAACTGATCTAGATGGAGCAAAAAATAACTTGTAATCAGAACCATCCCTGATGATCAGTTTGGTCGGTTTAAACTGAACCGAGATCTCCTTGATCTTGTTTGGATCTGCAGAGGGAGGAGGGTGAGAGAGGGGACTTTGGTAGGGAATGTTGAAACCCCCCCCGACACACACACAGAAAGAGAGAGAGAGAGAGAGAGAGAGAGCAACACAACATCTCGCTCATTCCATAACGACATAAAAGTCCATAGCATAAATACCTGCTGAAGGGTCATACTTGATACCCAAATTGATATGTTCCTGAATACCGAAACCGAAGCATCCAATATCACTGAAATTCCTCCTCAACAGCTCGTATTCCTTGACATTCAACCCACTCTCCAAAAGTTGCATACCTTCTCACCTCTGTCTGTGGTGTAGCATGTAGTCTTCTTATTACATCTTATACCAAACTGAGCAGTGTACCTAGCCTTTGAGAAAATGGGGGTATGTCCATTTAGATGCTCCAACACCTTTGTAGCTCTGGTGAGATGATCTCCACTTTCACCGATGGAGGTGTTGAGGACTAGAAACGGGGGTCTGTCCATTCACCACTTCCTGCATTGGGTTCAAGAGCTTCTTCTCTAAAGCCATTGGTCTCCACAGTTGAGGTTACAGAGGCAACCAAGTAGGTTGAAACCGACTTGATTTTGATTACTGTGGACTTTGGAGATTAAAAGTCAGTCACATTATGCCTAGGGGCTTTACCTTGAGACTTGTACACTTACATTTATAAGTTAGGTAAGTCTTTTTTGAATTTTGACCTTTGTTGTAATTGGGAAAAGGGAAGCAGGAAATTGAAATATGGAAGAGACGGAGGGATGATTCTCTTGGTTGGTTTGGTCAGATTATGTATATTTCGAAATCAAAGTTGGCCGGTTTTATTTGAGAACCAACCATCTCGGATCGAGTCAGTCTGGTTTGGTCGGGTTGGTCAGTTTTTGCCATTTTGTGGACAGCCCTAATATCCTTGAATATAAGGATTGCATGGCCATTAACCATCTACTTCAGCTATCTCAAGGAACCAGCCAACCTAAAAGCTTAAGCTGTTAGAAAAGGTCCTTGAATAGGTATTTATTCTCTAACATGCCCCCTCACATGTAAGCCCATTGGTCGTGAAGCGTGGACAAGCACAGGCTCACTCATACCTTGTGTTGGAACTTAATTGATTATAATGGGAGTGATGAAGACCTAACACTAGACCAATTGGTCAAGCAGGCTCTGATAGCATCTCAAGGAACCATTCAACCTAAAGTTGTTATAGGTATTTATTCTCTAACAAGCAGCTAACAGTAGTCTGAAACTAAGGGATTGAAGTGTTAAAATGCAGTTTATAATATTGTGGTACTAACTGATTCAACTCCTTTAATTGGGATCTACATATCTTGGTCATCATTCAGTTTAAGTGCAATCAACTTCACTGGAATTATTATGATGATACTAAACCTCTTCAGTACAATGATACTTTACCTTAAAAAAAAAAATTATTATGATGCATTTAAGCAAGTGATTGGAGTGTCTTTTGCATTAGACATGTTTTAGCATAAAACCTTTTGTTCATTTTGTTTACACAACTATGTTAATGAAGGCTGTCCAAAAGGAGAGGGAAGAAAAGCTTGCTCGGATACTGAAAGATTTTCTTAATCGATATGTTCATGGTGACAAGGAGGGATTCATACATCATGCTGCATCTGAAGCAAAACGACTTTCTGATGCAGGTTTGCTACACAGACCACCAAGTATCTTTCTTTCTGAAGTGGTAGGATTGAGGTTGTGAATTGATAGGTTTACATTCTTGTTATTCTAGAATATGGCAGTTTATTCATTATAATAGATTTTTAGATTTTTCTTTTTGGAAATGACAATTAGATATAGTCTTCTTTAACCCAATGACCAGTTAACTCAATTCAATAAAATTGTATCACAACTATTTAGGTTGGGCTACAGGATTCCCATTCCACATTTCCACTCTATCAAAGGACATATCTTTCCTCAGCTTGTATGCCCTTTATTTTTGTGCATTACCTCAATGCCTGTCCTTGGCCTTCACTTTTCTCCTTCAGAGCCTTAAATTTGTATCACTTTGCTCTATTTGTGGAGGAGCTTAATTAACCAACATAACCAATTTCCCAACCTCTACTGGGGATACATCTCAACTTTAATCTACAGCATTAGTATTCTATATAGTTTAAGATATATTTTCTTCTAAAGCAAGATTTTTATCTCTCTCTATCTCTATCTTCCCCTCCCCCCCGGTCGAAAAAAAAACCTTGGTAATTGAATCACAATGCATAGTTTGTATCAAAATAATATTTATGGGCTGATGCAATAAACTGAAGACCAAGTTACTGAGCTACAGTTGTTTTGTGCCTTGCATGGTGAAAGTTTTGATGAGGTATTTCCTCTTGTGTTGAATATACAGCTTTTGGAGCTGATATTTTACACACCATTGGCTACATATATGAAAGACAAGCAGCTCAACAGTTAGGAAAAAAAGCAATTTACTTAGGAGTTCCATTTTTGGCTGAATGGGTGCGGAATAAAGGGCATTTCTGGAAGTCACAAATCACAGCAGCAAAAGGTATCATGGGACATTTCCATGTATCTCTCTTTTTCTTCAGAAATAATTTAATACAAAACCTACCTAATATATATTAAGGAAATTATTCCAGGTGCTTTTCAGTTACTACAACTGCAAGAAGACGTGCGGCGGCAATTTAAGATGGATGGTAGTGGCCCAGAAAATAACCTTGAATCACATATGCAGTTGAATAAGGACACACTGATGAACTCGTTATGGAAACTGAATGTGGTAGACATTGAAGTAACTCTTTTACATGTGTGCCAAATGGTAAGTCTCTTAAATTTTCACTGGCAATTTCTCAAACCAGGAAACTCTTTAACGCATGAATAGAAGTTTCTCTAAGGAAACATTTGAAGCATTTCTTGTTCTCAGTTAAGAGCAGTTTCCCCAAAAACAAGTTAGCCATTCAATTTAAGGGATATTTTTCTTTTCTCTTCATTTGTTTTGGGATTAGTTCCCTTTTTGGGAACTATGGCTTGACCATTATAATTATGTCCAAATGGTTGACTATGTTTATGATAGAAACTCATAAACATGCACAAATCCAGAGGTATATAAATGGTTTTTGTTGATTTTTATCTTCATAACTTATGTACTAAAGAATGAATTTAGATGAAAATGGATAAAAAGATCTTGGTATGTAAATGCATCTAACCCTTCAAAATGAGATTTGATATATGAAGTGAACTATGTATGAAGTAGATCTCCATTTTCCATTCATCCCATAAATTTATTGCTTCACATTTTAGCATCTTAGTTCAGAGCATTATCAATGCATTTCGAAGGGAACTGTATTTTTATATTAAAAAGAAATGTGAACGTATAAAATATAATGGCATAATGTTCCTTGTTTGTACTTGAATTATTTGCAGGTGTTACAAGAAACTAATATTAAGAAGGAAGAACTTAAAGCTCGTGCATTAGCTCTGAAAATTCTTGGGAAGATATTTCAGGTAAACCATTTGTTTTTGTTGCAGTTAACATGCTATTGTCATTTCATAAAACATCTTTTCCTCATCAAAGATCTTCTATTTATAAACTATAATATGGTTCTGACATAAAAATATAATTTAATTTATGTTGATCAAACAAGAAATTTTTTTTTGAAGATATTGATCAAACAAGAAATATAAATTGGTTCATCATCAGGTAATGAAAACCAAAATTAATATTCAAACAGCTGTGACACAAAAGCATCCGATTTATCTCAGATGATGAACAGTAGTTAAGTTTGGCATTGGGTATTCAGAAAAAAAAATTCTACCCTAAGATGGTTAAAAAAATATGCTCTTTGGTACTTTGAAATTAATGGCACTTTTGGCAAATTTTTTTTTTCAGAGAGAGAAAAATTCACAAAATGGTGGAGTTTCCAAAAAGAAAAATGTCTCTGATGCTTATGAAGATGGAAGCAGTTCTGATAGCACTTCTGTTGAGGATTCACCAAGAACACTCTCATATCGAACTCCTCTAATCACTCAGGCATGCTACCAATCTCATTAAAGCTATTTATCATGTCTTGCTTTGACTTCATACATGAATGCATTCTAATACTTGTTTACATTTTATGTTTCTTGTTGGTATAAATTTTACACTTGTGAACTGCTTTGTGATTGTTATGGCTTTCTGCAGCTGTTTCTCAATCTTGTCAATCCAGCATAGCTTTCAAGGTGCCAAGGTGAGGTGAGGCTAAGCGACAGGGAGGGTGCCTTGTCATCTAGTTGCCTAGGCGATGGAACTTTTTAAATAAAAACCATGAACCTAGGGTATAGCAACCAGCAACTATCTTTCATTAATAAATCTTCATAAAAATGTATATGCTTCATATTAAAACATAGAAAATCACATAATCATCATCAGAAAAAAAAAAAAAAGAAATAAAAAGAAAGAAGAAAATGTAGAGGGCTGAGCCCCTGTTTTTTCCTAGGAAAGGAAGAAAAGGTGGAAGGACAAAAAGAAGAAGATGAAGATAAAGAATCTTTTGATTTGACAAGTTTTATGTTCTTCCTTGTTGTACCAGGTAATAAAGCCCTTGAGGTTTCATGACAGCATACACCAAGGTATATGTTGATTGAACCCTAACAATTAAGATAATAATAAATATACACCCACAAAATGAATATTTTAGTTTAATCATCATTGCCGTCTAATGTATATGTTATTATTATACTCTAAAAAACTAAAGAATTCAAAAGAGTTTCATGGTGGTATGTACAAGAAAGGTAGGCAATTAAGCGAGGCAGCCCTCCATGGGCATCTTGTTGCCTAGGCATCATTTTGACAACTATACAATCCAGTATTTCAGCCTCTGGAATATTAGATCAGTGGCTTATATGGAGGATAAATTTTGGTCTTATGTAGTTGTTAATCCATAAATGTATACATCATATGAAGTGGGTATCACATGCAGGGGCAAAGTATTGATACGATATGCCTTGTATTGGGCATATTTTATTGTATATCTTTTGGTCTCCGATATGGCGATACACTATATAAATGGGTTTAGCAGATGTTAATGATTTTGTATGCTAAAGGACAGTAACAGCATGCCCCTGTCAAAATCTGACAACCAAAAAATTGAAAAAAAAAAAAAAAGATTTTTGGTAGACCAAACTCAAAAATTTTGGGTATCAAGAGTATTGATACTTTGAACCATTAGCACATGCACATGTTTTTACCTTCATATGATGCATCGTGTACATCATATGAAGGGGATATCGCATGCATTTGTTTTTCCCTTCTTAGGTATTTTCATTTATGACACCTAATAAGTATTTCTTTTTTCACCTTCATAATTCATATGATGCCTGTACATCATATGAAGTGGATATTGCATCCACTTGTTTTTCTCTTCTTAGTTATTCTCATGTGTGATACCTGTTTACCTGTATAGCAGTATCATGTTGAATACTTCAATTTTTATTGTAAATTCCATATCGAACACCCTGCCCAGCTGTGTCATTGCCATATCCAGGTCGCGTAGATTCTCATTCAGGATACCCATTGGCGCTATCTTTTCATCATACCGGAATTACCAATGTAAATTAGAAAGTCACTTCACATACAAAATTTGTGGCAGAATATAATTGATTAGGCTCAGTTTGGAAGGAGTACAAATACAAATATGTAGAGTGCAAAACCTTGAATTTTGTGTTATTTTGTATTTATTTGTACTGTACATATTTGCATTTGTACTCCTTCCAAACTGAGCCTTAATTTCAACTTTATTGTCTGCAAATAATAGCAATTTGAGAACTGGTCTGTCATGAACCAATTTGCAAGTTAGTTTGTTTAGGTTTGCAAGATGTGGTGATTTAAAAGCAAAGAAACAAGAGGAAGTCCTAATATTTCTCTCTATATTATGCACTTTTATCGTGATATATGAGAATTTCCTATTGATAATCAAATAGAACTCTAGTTCAAACTTTTGGTCTCTAGATAGTAAAATTAAATACTACAAACAGCACCCAAGAGAACACAGGTTATAGTCAAATACCAAGTAAGCTTTATTTGAAACTTTTAAAAGTTAAGTTAAATTAAAATATGATATGATTTTTAGTACTCATCACTCTGTTGACCCAAAAAGAAGAAAACAAAACTTAATGTTAAATTTTACATAAATGGAAGCAAGCAAACAAAGAACAAATTTTAACAGTAATGCTAACAAATACAAATGAACCAACCTATTAGGTAACACTGTTCTGCAATATTAACTATAAATGATCTACTTAATTTCCTTGTTTTCTTGTATTCTTGATGTCATACTTATGCTGCATTTGGTTGCAAAGAAAATGGAAGTAAAGAAAATTTAGTAAGAAAGCAACTGAGATCAAATCAATAGATTTGAGTCAACTGGATAAGAGTAGAGCTCAGTCTGTTACAAGAACATCCAGTTTATTGGCTAAATGCATGTGTTGCTTAATATATATTCGTTTTTAACATCCCTTGGCTCCTCTTCTCTGGCAGGGTATTGGTAGACTCTTCAGGTGCCTCTGTAATCCTGCATTTGAGGTGGACGATGACGAGATTGTGTACAAAAGCAAGTAATGCTTTGATACTCTTTCCATTTGTAGCAAGGACTGACAGCAGAAGCTTGTGAACATCAAATGCTACACCCTGGTTGAAGATCGTAGCCAAGGTGGAGTGGTGCAAGCCCTCAAATGTTGTATTTCCTATTGTTATATCAATTTTTTGTGTGCATGTGTGTATTTTTCACAAACCTCATTAAGGATTTGTTATGTACTAAAAGAACTGAACAATGATTGCAGAAAGCTAGTCACAGCTGGCGATTGAATATGTATTAGGAATACAGAAATGAATGATACTGATCAGCAGACTAGTCAATTTTTTTCTGATCCAAATTACTGGTGGAATTGCAGCATAAAATGTTTCTATTGTATTACTATCATGCAAGTCTCATAACGTTTAACAATTAAGTGGGTAGAGAAAGATCTGCTACCAACCATATCCCAACGATGTCCCAACAGGCCACTGCAGCTGCATATTGGGAACATCTCCCTTGTCATTCATGGGAGATGTTACATTGCCTCGTTGGGACGTTGTTGGGGCTGTGCGTGGGTATGATCCGAGCTCCAATTAAGTACCACTGCTATGATTGCCATTACCATCTGAACTTTGTAATCATCATGAATGTCCATTGCCCAGTCAATGGGCATCTCAAAACTATCATAAATCAGCCATTTCACATTCCAAGTAATTGTATCTTCACCCACGGGAAAAGAACTTAATATGACAATTTCAATGTTTTAAAAGCTGACCTCGAATTGGAACCACTTTGGCCACCAAGACGGTCCAAATGTTGAAGGGATGGGAGATCCATCATATGGATGGCCAAATCATGCAGGGTGGTTGGGTGGAATTTCAAAAAATTTCTTTCTCCCATCCGGGAATTATATTCCCTAATTAAAAAAAAAATTGCATTTTTCAAGGTTCGTTCTTGAAACAAACCGGATCAGATTTGATACCAAAAGAAGGAGAGGGATATACCTGATACGGAATCTACGCAAGTAACTCCCAACGTAGGTATTCACGCCTAAAGAGGTCACCAAAACCCGCATCCATTGAAGATGACACAACTTATGGTGAGGCAGGATCAACAAGAAGGTTCTTCAACAAGAACCCTAATTCTTCAGCAAGAATCACGTAAGGTGTGAGCACGACTTCAGATTGTTTCTTCTACCGAGAAACAATATCAAGATCTAATCTTGACCAATTCTAAGAATGGAGATCGAATTGGGTAGGGGCGGCAAGAGCTGAGGGAGAAAATTGCAAAATGTTGAAAAGCTTTCAACTAAGAAATTCACTCCCTTATTTATAACCTTGTTTGGATCAGCTTCTTAATCCAATTAGGAAAGTTTCTTGATCCAAATCTGATATTTAGATTTGGACTCTTAAGTGGACAAGACTAACCTTATCCTTTTGTTGATCCTAATCAGATTATAAACCTAATTTGCCCCATTTAATTAAATCACTTAACCCCAGTTCGAAATGGGCTTTAGGCCCATTAAGTCATATGACTCATTTTCCCTTTTAAATGCTGACTAGTTTGGCTCTTTTTGTATGGTGTGGGACCTTAGCATTGATCTCTACAAAAGCCATATGGGTTCAGCCTAGCCTTTGTTATAAGGCCTAGCCGAATTTATTGCTGAACAACACAGTGAACCTCTGAGCCCATTAGTATGGGCTTTTAACAGGCCCAACATTTATACTAAATGGTTATTGGGTCCAACTACCTTATGAAGGTTTAAGGACTATGGACTTATGTGAGATTAGCCCATTAGGTAAAAAACCCTAAATGGTCTTACACTTAACCTCTCAACCCATAATGATCAAACACTGCCCGACAAGAGAGGATCTCTCACTCGACTGCAAGGTACAGTGTTGCACTCTCCACTCATATATATATAAATATATTTTGCAAAAACAAATTCAACAAGTATGGAATCAATTGCCGGTAGTTTAGATTTCCATCAAAGAGAGTGCATTCCCCGATCATTCACTTTGTCTGACAAAGGGGCTGATTTTGTCACTATGATCACCCAGTCAGGTGAATTCTCAGACTGTCCTAACATACCTAAGTTTTGACCTCCACTAAGGATCTCATTGATTGACATATCAAAGACAGCCCAATTCAACACCTAGTGTAGTACCATAATCGAGTTTAGGAGTTATGTATAACTTTTCAGTTTTGCCCAGCTGTTTCCAAGGTCTAAGGCATAACTAGAAAATGGTACAGTTCAGAGTTTCAATCAAACCCACACTACATTTGCTTCAGGTCTCACCCTAGCAACCGAGACAAGCCACCCCAACTTTCTTGACAGCACATTAGTGTCAGCCTTTGCAGAATAAACCTCCCCAGGTCTATCCAATGGCTGTGAAGATTCTAAACTACCACGAGTCTCATTAGTGTCAAATTTAAGGGTATTACACAGAAACACACCATAATAACATAAATCAATTATGTACTTCATTCATTTACAATAAATGTCAATAAGTACATCAATCTAATTGACGCTAAGGGCATAACTATCTAACAAATGTATCAACTTGTTCTATTTTAGAAAAAAAAAAAAAAACAAAAAAAAACAAAAACCAAAAACCAAAAACCATTTTCTGAATCGAATGGATCAATAGTCTAACCTTTAAGGTCAGCAGGTTGTTTACCAATTGGATCCTAGAGCATGTACATATAGATTGCAATATTGCATTAGTGTTTTTGAACCACCGTTAACAAGACGGTTAAACCATTTGGCCTTGGAACCGTCCAGGCAACTGATTCCGTTTCACTCTCAACTCAGTCCTTGACCAAAAACCATTGATTTGATAAAAAACCCATTGACCCAGGTGGTTGAACCATTGACATGTTTAATAGCTTTGACCATTTTTATTTTAATTTTTCAATTGGAATGGACCATAAATTGATGGCTAGAACAGTTTCGGTTCTAGGTCAGTTTTTAATAGGGATGCAAACAAATCGTATCGTATTCGGTAAGGGTATATCTGATATGATCCGTTAAGAAAATCCGACTGGTCCGAATCCAATAAGAATATGCCAGAGCATGATTCAAATTAGAATATATTATCAGATATCCTATTCAAATACAATTTTAATAAAAAATCTTAATGACATAATATAAATAATATATTTTATTATTTATATAATATAATAATATATTAAAATATATAATAAATAACTATATAAATAATATAATATATAATATTTCGGATTAGATTTGGATTCGAATCGGATCTGATTCAACTTGTATGCTCCAAAGTGAGATTTTCATTTTATTGTGGATAAATCCCGTTAAGGAGTTGCCAGCAGATCCCGTGGGCAAATTATAGGGCCATAAACGGGTCAAAAAGGGGCGGATCTAGTCAATTCCGATCCAGGTATAAGAACATGTCAACAGATATGTGCTTGGGCAAACCGTAAACAAGATAAAACTTGATTTAGTTGCATTAAGAAGCCAAACAATTACTGGTTTCCAGCTCTTTCCTTGCCCTTGTAATTAATAGATCCTTACCCAGTGTGCGGGCAATTGATTTAGTGATCAAAGCTTCCTAAGAATCCTCCATTCTTGTTCATTTGATAATCGCAATTTCGCAGTAATAAATGCAACCCAACCTAAAGTTGAGCCACCTGGACTAGCTGGTTCAAGGGGTGAACATGAGCAATGGAATTTGGAAATTGAGCTTTGTCATTCACATTGAGAAGCACATAAACAAAGCAAATAAACATAAGTAGTCTTCTTGAAATCTTTTTGACATCCAGAAGCTGACAATGGAAACCAAAGTTGCTACTGCAACTTGTGAGTTTGCTAAGCTAAGCTCCTACAGGCTACAAGCAAAAGCCACTACTAACTCCTACAGGCTACAAGCAAAAGCCACTACTAACTCCTACAGGCTACAAGCAAAAGCCATCATATATCTACAATGGAATGGGTCTTGTCTTCGTATTTACATTTCCCCTTTCTTTGATTCAGTGTGCCGGATGAGGCAGGGTGTTCACCGCACGGTGTGCTTGGATGGCACATGCACAGTGAACGGATGTTAGGCTGAGACAGCCGCTTATGATGAGGGAATGCCTCCCTGGGCAGGTGTGAAGTGCAGGGAATGAGTCACACACTGCCTGAACAGCTGGTGGGGTGAGAGCTGTACACTGGCTGATATTTAGATTCATGAGCCCTTCATCATTGTACCCACTTTTCACAGACTTCCACAGATTATGCTTGCCCTTTACTCGGCTGTTGGCCAGGGAATACATAGCTCTATCTGTAATGTTCTGACAGTAGTACAGGCCAAGGGATCTGAGATGGTGGCACCTGTTTGCTAAAGCAATCACGCTCTCATCTGCAACCAAGCAATGATAATAAGAAGATCAAGAGAATCATAAGATACCGATCAGATGCCTAAAACTGGTTCTAGCAGCATTCAAATTATCTAATAAACTGAAACGACTAAACAAAGTCAATTTTAGTTTAAGCAAGCCAAAAGACCAAATAAGACCAAAGGGTTATTCTGGCAACAGACTTGTATTAAGTCCTACTAATTTAAATTCTGGCAGGAACAGAACAAATAGATTTTATAAGTTGAAAGAATTTTCTAGAATAAGAAAAGCCCATTTGAATTATTATTATTTTTCTTTTTTGATCAGCACCATTTAAATTATTATCTTGATTGGCAAGGTTCAAAATTTCATCAGGTATAGGCCATATATCAAATCGGTGGGTTACCAATACGCCATATACAATGCTTTTGGCCTTTTGACCCATTTCTATATCGGGGTGTATCGATACTTCGAATAAAAAATCAAAGTGGTCATTTTCTATATTAAGTTGTGACATTTTATCAGAAATGGCCCAGTAGCAGATTTCTACATATGAAATACCTGTTATAAGAACACAACCACAGAGATCCAGAGCCCTGAGATCTGGACATCCATATGCTAGACTAGTAACTCCAGCATCAGTGACACCCTCGCACCATCCAAGATTCAGACACTGCAACTGACTGCAATTATACGCAATAGCCTGCATAGAGAGCAGGAAATTTTTCCCTAAGGAAGGCATCTTTAAGCGTATAGAGTCAATGTGTAAAGTGCAAATAATTTCACATACCTGCAAGGCTCTGTCAGTTGCTGCTCTTACACATCCACAAAGATTCAGGTATTTTAAGTTCCTGCAAAAGCCTGTCAGATATACAAGAGCAGAATCACTGAAGGCTGAACAACCACTGATGTTGAGCTTGGTAAGGTTGGGACACCCATGTGCTAAGGCATATAATGAGCGGTCACTAAGCTTGAAACTTTTGCTGAGGTCTAAGTCCTTCAGGTCATGACAGCAGTTTGCAATTGTCTCAACAGCACTATCCTCGAGTTGTGGTTTATTTTGGCGCAATGTTAGGGTCTGCAACTTCGTGAATTTGGGGGCAACTGAAAGCACAAGATTGTTCATGTTGTCCTTGCACCTGTAAAGTTGTATTACAAGAGACATAAACAATATGCTAAACAAAAGGATGAACACCGTTGATGACAATCCACAAATAAATAAATGGAAAAGAGAAAAAAGTAAAGGATTAATTGTCAAAAGATGCAATCCATACAGAAACCACATCCAACACCATCAGCCTAACAATCCATACAGAAACCGCATCCTACAGTCAATGGGCATCGTCTGACTAGTTACCGTGCTTACAGTTCCATTTTTCTGCATGGTACTGATTTACCCGGGAAAGAAGAAAGAGTGATCACCATTATGAGACAATAAGTACCATAATTGGGATAAAGAGAACCCATCATATCAAGCAGGAGAACCCCATATTTTGTTCTACTTTCACAAGTTAAATGGTTGAGATACACAGGCATAGGGAGCAATTTAAATAACATAGTTGGTTCTCACAAAGAGATGTTGATAGTTGGGAATTAGCATTCTGATAGACCCCCACAATTAATTTTACGTATGCCAGGAAGGGAAAGGTCAGCTTTTGGCCAAGGGGGGAAATAATTGAACATGGGGGAACTTATGGCTGGAGGGAATAAGGAGAGTTTTTTAGCATTTATAGCTTGTCAGTTGGGAATAAGAAGAGTAGCATTTATAGCTTGTCAGTTGGGAATAAAAAAGAGTAGCATTTATAGCTTGTCAGTTGGGAATAAGAAGAGTGCGGAGCATTTATAAGTTGGCCAGCTGGGCATTTATTATGGAAGGCATTTATGCTGTAAGATGTGTATAAGAAGGGGCTTTGGGGGATGGAGGAGACAGACTTTTGTTGAGTACAGAATTCTGAGAGTGCTTGGGAGAGCCGGCGGTCTCTCGAAGAACCGACCTACTGTAGGTGATCTTCTTTTCTTCTGAATGAATATCAGTTCCTTGTTGATGTACTAGTGGTTTGGATTCTACTGTGAGTATGTGAACTGCATGTCAAATTTCTGGGTCATATTAGTGGTATCAGAGCCCGTCTTTCCTCGGCCATGGTGACAGTTAAGGAAGTGGCTTCGCAGGTGGAGGAATTCGAAGAACGCTTGTCTTCTCTGCATTCTGATTTTCGTCTGGAGATGGATGGCTTACGTAATGATTTTCAGCGTCTCGATCCAGATAAGGTAGCAGCTGGACTTTCGAAGATCTCGTCTCTGGAGAGCTCGGTCCAATCTCTGGAGAGAGGCATTCAAGATCTGGTGAGACGTTTTGATCTGTTGCTTCATCAACAGGTCTCTTCTGCTCCTTTGTCTACAACTGACATTGCTCCCCCTTTAGTTGCATCGAGTCGTGCGGCTAACAAAGGAAGAGTGCAGCTTTCCTGACGTCTTCTTCAATATCAGTCCCGGAACATACTTCTGATTCACTTCCTCGGAAGTTGGAGTTATTTATCTTTGATGGGGAAAATCCAGACGGCTGGCTTTTTTGCGCGGAGCGCTATTTTGAGATTAATGGCTTGTTTCTAGCGGAGCGTCTGCGAGCTGCAGTTGTCTGTTTAGAGGGCGATGCATTGGCATGGTATTACTGGGAAGATGGTTGGCGACCTTTTCGTGGTTGGATAGAATTCAAAGAGCTCCTCCTTGAACGTTTTCGATCGACTCAGGAGGGTAATTTACAGGAGCAGCTCTTCTCGTTACATCAGTCTTCTACTGTTAAGGAATATCGTTGCCAATTCGAGGTGCTCTCTGCTCCCCTACGAGACCTGCCAGTAATCGGTCCGAATAAGAGCAAGTGTTTTGGGCTGATAGAAAACTCCAGTTATTGGGAGGAATCAGAGTCCTGATGTAGGGATTATAATGGGCACTTGGCAGCACTGACATCATCCAAGGAACTAAGTTTTGTTGGAAAACTCTGCACTAATACAGCAAGAGGCTACTGGGTTGGAGGAAGAGGCTTCAATTCTACAGGTGGTTTTAGTTGGAAGTGGTCTGACAATGCAACACATTGGAATGAGTCCATCTCCCCGGGGGCACCATTTCACTCCAATGGCTCCAATTCATCATGCAAAGGCATTAATCTAATCAATAC